AGCACTGCTGCCTATTTGTGCAAAATGAAGTCCAGAGAAGCCTCATATCGGCAACTGATGAATATGATCACAGCACAGGACTCCAGAAATGGCATAAGGCAGAACACGGTTCATAGCGAGCTTATCAAAACGGGAGAGGGGACTGGACGGGCAAATGATACGCTGATCATGTATCGCTCGGCCTCATCCAGAGGACTGCATTGATTGGTGCATGGTTCCATCCTTTGGCAACAGTTCCAGAAGCAGCTGGTAACCCGTGTCCTGAGCCACAGGCTGCAGCGATCAGCAAACTTTACATGAAGGAACACTTTTTCTCCTCGCTGAAGGATCTCTCCACACGGTCAATTTCCTCAATGATTTTAGTAAAGATTTGTTTGCTTTTCTGCAACAGAAAAAAAAAAATTCAAATGAGTAAATAAAAAGACTCATATGCGAACAGAACCAAATCTTTTCTTTTACATTGTATAGATTAGAAAAAGAACATTAAAGATTAATAGATTCCCTCATCTGTATATAGGAAAAAAGAACATACAGCAAAAATAGAACTAGTGCATTTTCTCACAGCTCCATGACAGGGAGAGAACAATCTAAGACCTTCCTGCCACTTACATAGTGTGCATTGTGGCAGTACAATATATGGCTTGTTAGTGATTTGGATTAAAACTTCTCTTGCAGACTCCAGCAGAAAATGAGGCCTAGTACAAGTGATTAACCACTTCAAGACCAGGTGTTTAGACCCCCTTCCTGTCCAGGCCATTTTTCAGTGTTCAGCGCTGCGATACTTTGACTGACGTTTATGCCGTCATGCAACGCTGTACTGAAATGAATTTTATACCATTTTTTACGGACGGATAGAGCTTTATTTTGGTGGTATCACCACTGCGGTTTTTATTTTTTATTATAATTAGGAAAAATTACAGAAAAAAAAAAAAGTTTACATTATGTTTAGGAAACATTTATTATTAACCAGTTTTTTTGGTCTAATATAAAAGTCAGGGTCACGTCGGGTAAATAGACACCAAACATGTCAAGCTTTAAAATTGCGCGCACCCGCGAAATCGCAGAAAACTACCATACCCAAAATATGCTGGATTTTTTTTCTTCCCCAAAAGTCCCAATACTCAGTGCTGCGAGGATTCATGCAGAGTCAGGAGGCTGCATGGATTGTTAGTGCATATAGCAGGGTTAGGCAACCTTGGTACGGCAGCTGCGGTGCAACTACAAAGCACAATGCTGCTGGAGCCATGCCTGTGCCAGTCTTGCAATGCCTCATGGGACATGTAGTAATAGCTGGAGTGCCAATGTTGCCTCCCCCTGATCCAAGATATAGAACACGAGACCACCAAAAGAGCATCCCAAGTCAAAAATCGGACAGGCGGGCACACCCAATCAAAGACTGGTAAGCTGCGATATATTATTCTTTTGTTTGGTTTTTTTCAGAGCCAGGCATATTTAAACCTAACACAAATGTGGAAACCATGGAAGATAATTGAGGGGGGTGGGTGTACAGGTTTATAAAACACTTAATACATTTAAAAAAATGCCATGTTAACCCCTTCGTGACTGACGACATTGGGGCTGTTTAAACAGACTCCCGGCGACTTTTGCCGCCGGGAGTCTGTTTAAACTTGTACAGCCGACTGTCGGCTTTACAACAGAAGCGAAAGCACCCGGTCGGCGCTTCCGGTTTCCCCCCCGATTCCCGGGATCCGCTGCCCCATCTTGGATCCCGGGACCGGCTCCGAGGGCGTCAGGAGGAGGAGGACGGGAGATCAGCTCCTTGCTGATCCCCATCCGGGCTGTGAATGCAGAAGTGATATGTGTTACATCACTTCCGCATTCACCTGTCAGTCATCTGGAGAGAGAAGAAGCTGATAAAGCAGATCTCTGCTTTATCAGCTTCTTTTGGGGTCCATAGGTGATATTAGGGGTCCTAGAGACCCCTAATATCTCCATAAAGAGGACCTGTCAGTGTGCCTTTGCTATTATATAGGGGGTTGTTATCCCCCTATATAATAGCAATAACAATAAGTGCAAAAAAAAAAATATAAATAAAAAAAAAGAAAAGTAACACATAAAAAAATAAAATAAAATAAAAGCCACATATAAAAAAAGGGGAAAAACCCCCCCCAAAATGTTTAACTCCCCCACCCCCACGTTTACGCGCCTATAAACGTAAATACGCGTCCGGTGCCCCAGCGCGCAAAAATTACAATTGCGCTACACATGTTACATATCGCCGCGAACGTCGCAGTGAGAGCAATCATTTTAGGGCCATCAATCACTGATAACACTAAACTGATGAGCGGTAACAGCTTTTAAAGCGTCGCCTAGGGCCAATTTTGGGTATTATCGTTTTTTGAGGTTTCGCGCGCGCACGCAATTTTAAGGCTTGACATGTTTAGTGTCTTTTTACCCGACGTGACCCCATCTTTTATATTTTACCAAAAAATTGGGTAATAATAAATGTTTTATCATTTAATATAGGGGAAACTTTTTTTTTTTTTAAATTTCGGTAATTTTTCCTTAATATAGTAAAAAAATAAAACCCCCAGTGGTGAATAAATACCACCAAAAGAAAGCTCTATCTGTCCCCAAAAAAGGGTATAAAATTCATTTCAGTACAGCGCTGCATGACGGAATAAATGTCAGTCAAAGTACCGCAGCGCTGAATACTGAAAAATGGCCTGGATGGGAAGGGGGTTTAACACCGCGGATGTCAACTGGTTAAAGAGGACCTGTCACCACCATCTGCTATTACATGGGGGAGCTTGTAAGCCGCCCCATGTGATAGCAGTCAAAGCAAAGTAAAAAAAAACACAAAAACAAAAAACCAGTTTTTAAAATTAAAATGAAATAAAATCAATCTAATAAAAAACAAAAATGTAAAAGTCCCCCGCCCCCGCGTGTCGCCACGTAAACATGCGTCGGGTGCGCCTACGCATGAAAACGACGAACGCGCTACACATGTTGGGTATCGCCGCGCACTCCGGAGTGAGAGCAATAATTCTAGGGCCAGTATTTTGGGGTATCTCTAAATTGATGACCTGTTGGGGCTTTTAAAGCATCTTTTATTGACTTTTTGGGGTACTGCAGTTTTTCGCCGTTTCACGGTCGCACGCAATCTGTAAACTGGGCATGTTGGGTATCGTTTTAACCTCATCTTTTATATTTCATTAAAAAAAATTGGTAATTTGTTGTGTTTTGGGGCATTTAATTAAATTTGTCACGAAATTGTGGGGTTTAATAAGGAGTTGCGCTAATATTGCGCAACATAAAAATTAACTACCACCATTTTATTCTATAGGGTCTTGGCATTCAGAAAATATATAATGTTGGGGAGTTTTACGTCATTTTCAGGCCTAAAATGTGGCCTATAACATGGGTGCAAAAAATGAAAAAAGGGCCTCAGTCATGAAGGGGTTAAACTGTATACTGGCAGGAGAGACTGCCTAGGGTAATGCAAAAATTCTACGAGTTCCTACATAAAGGCAGTACATTACTGTACAGTTCAGAAATATTTGTTTACCTCTGGGTCTTTAGCAGAAACTTCCATGAATGCTGCTCCCCAGGAATCAGCCAGTTTCTTGCCCTCTTCTTGTTTCACTTCACGACTAAAGAGGGGGGAGGAAAAAAAATTAAAAAAAAATCTTAATTTCATGGACAAATGCTAAAATAAATAAAAAAAAGTCAAAATGAAACATATACACACATATACACACACACACACACACATTTTTACCATTGGGACGGGAGATCATTCTTATTCCCCACAAGGACAATAGGCATGCTATAAGAGAAGAATAGCAAAGGTTAGGCTCATATTAAAATATTAAACCACGTTTTTATATGTCAATGCAGAAAAATAATGTATGGAAAAATGAAGTTAAGAATTCTGAGAACATCAGTTCCATAAAAAGGGCTAAAAAGTAATTTGGAGGGCAACCCAAGCAATCTGTGGCATCCATGAATCCTTAGACCCCGTTCACAAGACAAGCAGTTTTCACACATGAGACAACTTACAGGCATTTCCCTCTTCTATCCACAAGCACTCTGTGCAATCCAGTTGCGATCTGGAAGCTGGAAAAATATTTAAATACATTAGTTTAGTTGTTCCCACCTAAGGGAAGAAAAGATTAATTAAAAAACAAACAAAAAACAGTTCAATCTCAATTAACAATGCATTTCCACTTTTCAGTATACCAGGGGGTGTATTGACTCAGGCACAACAAGTCAAATCACTAGTGATGAGACCTTTGCCACAGAAATTAATTTCTAGACATGTGCACAGTAAAAAAAAAATAGTTTTCGGACGAAACAAATGAAAGCGAAAAGGTTTTTATTCGTTTCGTCAAGGGAAACACATTATGTTGTTTTGGATTCGGAGGCAACAAGCCTTCAAATCCGAAACCGCACATTGAAATGTGAGGTGCTTCCCCATTGTAGGTTGACAATTTTTGGAAAGTTGTGCAAACTGTTGCCGATATAATCTGTCTATCTATATCTCCAATATTAAAATTAGTATCAACACTACTAATCCTCAAAATTTCAGTCCCAAGTGTTTCTATGAGGACAGATTACTGTGGAGGTACTGAGAAAAAAAAAAAAACTGGAATCAGCCTGGTGGTTGACTGCAGCAACAAAACATATTAAAAAAGGTAAATGTTTTTAAAAATGTTTGTTATGCGGTGTGACTTGATACACAAAACATAGTGGGGTTTTCTCACAATTGACTGCCAAAGCAGAAATACGATTGGCTGTAGTACCTCAAAAGAATCAGTAGGGGGAGCCAGAGCACTACATAACCTTCCAGCAATTCCCAGTCTTTTCCCAAGGGAAAGTTCTCTTACCTTCTTGAGCAAGCCACAGAATACACTACAATGTAGCCATGTATGCCGAAAATAAATGACTGGGGGAGCAAGGAGTACTCATCCTGCATAAAAAGAACGAGACCGTTAGTGACAGCCACAAAGCAAGTCATCACACAACACCTAGAGACCAACAATGACTTACCTGTCCTGCTGTGTCCACCACGTCCAGTTCAAACTCATCCGTCCCCAGTACAAAGGTCTTGCTCCAAGCTGAGGGACAAAGGAGATTGAAATGTAAGGAATCAGACAATTACATGCAGCGCTTCAATAAAAGGCAAAGGCTCCGAAACGTACTGTTCTCAATGGTGGGCTCGTAGTCTGTGGGGAAATCTCCTTTGATGAACTGCAGAGCCAGCGAAGATTTACCTGTGAATAAAAAAACCGTTACAGAGACGTCAGAGGAGAAGTCATAACAATACAGCACTGCATAGCAGACCGTACGCCATGGCGCAGCTCACTCCCAGGAGAACAGCCAAGGCTGCAAGACATACGACCACAGACAGGAAGTGCTTCCCATACAGAGACCTCTCAGCATGCTGGAAAATATTTACACCGTCCCCCTTTTCTACATAAAGGGGAACAGAACTTATTTCATGTGACACATCATAAAAGATTGGAGTGTGCAGATTGTTCAATAATATCCAGATATCTCACCACTGTCTATGGCAGGAGTGGGCAACTCCAGACCTCCAGTTGTAGTGGAACTACAAATCGCAGCATGCTTCTGGGGGTCATGCCCGTGAGAAACCTGCAATGCCCCATGGGATTTGTAGTTCTACCGGTGGAGTGCTGAGGTTTGCCTGCCCCTGGTCTATGGTGAGCCCAACTACCAGCATTAAACCAAGAGAACCCCTAGCCAGTAATGTCCATTCTGCTGGCTGTGTTCTGTTCAATGTGACCAAATACTTCCATCTATACACTGGCCGGATAAATGTGAACCCCATACACCAGATAACCGGAGACAGGAGCTCTGCCAAATACACACACTGCGCTTATATATCAACAATGGAGCCCATTACATAGGACTGCTTCACCCCAAGAAAAAACAAAGTGCAGTTACCTATAGCAACCAGAGTCCTCCCTGTACTAGTCTGACTTCTGAAGGGTACAATGATGAGGGTTACCACACCAATTCTATTGATTAATGTCCATTGTTTCATTGGGCCTGAAAGAAAATACGCTGGTGGCTATAGGATACAGAATGACACCATAAGAACTCGTGAATAAGGTTGCTATGGGTTACAGAATGCCACCATAAGAACGCTAGTGCATAAGGTTGCTATGGGTTACAGAATGCCACCATAAGAACGCTAGTGAATAAGGTTACTATGGGTTAGCGAATGCCACCATAAGAACGCTAGTGAATAAGGTTACTATGGGTTAGCGAATGCCACCATAAGAACGCTAGTACATAAGGTTGCTATGGGTTACAGAATGCAATCATAAGAACCCTATTAAATAAGCCTGTGAAGGTTCTCATTCATCCAGGTCAGGGTATATCTGTAAAAAAAATATGTCAAGGCAACTGGACTTGCTGACTTATTAAGTTGCCTTGACTTGTTTTACAGATTAAATAAGGTTTCAAAGGGTTACTGCACTCAGAAATAGGAACTATAGATGCCCCCACATAGTCCTAAGACATTAATGTTGCTATAGGCTACAGCACTCATCACAAGACCTCAGTTCAATAAAATGCATAGATTAAAAAGGCTATTAAATATTGTTGCTATGGGCCACATCACTCAAACATGGCTGAGTGTTTCATTGTCTGAGTGAAAAAGAAAGCAGGATTGGTTGCTGTGGGTCATAGCGCTGATTGAGAACTTTCTTGAACAAGGTAGCTATGGGTTACTGCACTCCATAAGAATTTGGTTTCCATGAGTGCAAGGCCTGGTTGCTATGGGAACTCTCAGATTCATGAGGCAGAAGGACTGTATGCGACTCTTAAGGGGAGAGGGGGTAGGACACTTCGTCCTATTCACATCCAGCCCCCAACCCATCCCCCTCCAAGCACATAGTAGCCACCACACACAGGGCGGTAGCCCTCCCCCACAGGGGATGAGCCGTGTCCCCCTCCTCACAATCCGATCACTTATCTCACAGGAAACACTGCTGACGCCCCCCAGCACTCATCACCTCCCTGCCCCCACAGCACACACCGTGCAATCACCATGGAAACACCGTGATAAAAGCGATCTGCCACACGCAGCTTCATTAATAAGTCAATTTAATAAACTCATGTGCGGAACTTTAACGTAGCGCCAACATATTCCGTCTATAAGTCCACCGTCGCGGTTCTGCTATGTCGGACAGTACCAGTTGTGGGGGTGCCGATCAGCCTAGTTTCGGGGTAACGTGCTAAAAGACACAGCTCACACAGTCCTGGCTGAGACCAGAGCCCGAACCCCAGACATACAGGGGCAACCCAGCCAGCGATACCGATCACATACCAAAGCACACAACAGCGCCCAGCAATTTCCCAGCTACTTACCGACTGATGGGTATCCGAGCATCACAACTTTGCGGTGCTTTACTGGGGGCATGGTAAAAGCGGCGAACAAGCAACACTACGAGAGCAGAAATACAGAGCAAGGATAATTTCCTCGACCAGGTACTCTGTACGACCCCTCACTAGTTTATAATCGTGCTCAGGACCGCGGTTTTCGGGTCAAATAGCCAAGGCGTAGCAAAGCCGACCGCCCATCGGCACGGCAAGGCCAATGACGGCTTACTTAAAAGTCACGGCCCATGCCCATTGGCCGGAGGGGCTTCAGGTAGCCAATCTGCGGCAGGATGAAAGGCAGCGGTCAGTGCGTGCATTGTTTGGGTTTTGGGAGAAAGAGTTATCACACCGAACGCTGTGATTGGTCACTCCGCGTCGTGATTGGTCGTTCTGCTTTGGGATTGGGCGGTCGTGGAAGGAGGACGGATGGCAACAAAGCCATGTGTCTGTGCACGAGAAGGCTGCATGGCTGTGCTTGTTGTCAGTGCTATGGTGGGAGCGCAGGCAGGAATAAAAGTCTTAAGGGTTACTATTCTTACATTTATTGTTTGTAAATTCTGTTCTCATAGGGGGATAGGTACATGAAAAACAACACCGGCTATGGTCACTTCTATCCCTTACTCTTCCCTCCACATGCATGCTTTGACTGAAGTAAATGGAAGGAAACAGCTCCAGAAAGTGAGCTCCTTTTCTGGAGATCAGAAGTGTGCCTACCCCTACACTATTCACCGTCTGAGACGGTGGGGTTGCTTGTGGTGCACGTTATGGGGTAGGGGGCCTTGATGGGGGTGCATGTTGGGGGTGCTAGTACTACCTTTGGGTTTAGCATCCTGCCCCGCCAGCTCCTGGCAATTAGTGAGCTGGGGTTATGCTAGGCAGAGCGTTACAGTTTGCACTTGGTTGCAACCTTGTAAGCTCTGGCCAAACAGGGTGGCAGGTGTAACCCAATGAATGCCATCTGAAGCAGCTGCCTCAATATAGGGATGCTGGAGATAGTTGATGATATCATCCGATCCCAGCGCTGTTCACATCATGGCACATCCAGGTTGCCAGGAATGAGCTGACTAATACTCATGCACCACCGCAAACAACAACATCCATATCACAGGGAAGGGAAGGCAATGGTTGAGCATAATAAAATCAGACAATAACATGTATTCAAAGCTTTTGAAGAGTGAAAAGTTCCAAAAGTGAGTTTTCTACCGCTTCAAGCTCAGGTGATTTTTAAACCCTGCTGCGCCCATGCCTATACCTAAGTAATAAATAAGTAAGCCTTATGGTTAAGCAATACTAGGTGCACAATGTTTCAAGGCATTATCTGACACCCTTTGTATTTGTGTATTTAACATAATAAACATTTGGCCTCCCTGTATGTCTCTGGAGAACTGTGTTGGGGTTTGATTTCTGGTCTGTGATAAAATGACCCTTTCTAAGACAAGAATTTGCACATAGGAAGAAAACCTGCTAAGACCACATTCCAGGAAAGAGGCAGTTTGGTGTGAGGGGCAGCCAGCAGCTTCCTGTTTTGGGATGGGTTCAAGGTGTTTATGGAACTCCTGGACAACCAATTTAAAATAATGGCAAAGCCTTCATACTTATGGTAGAAGCATATGCTAGAAGCTCATTTCAAACATATCTAAAAAGAATTTTCTAACTGAAGACTTCCTGCAAATAATCCAATTGGATGTTTTGTCGTCTTTTCCTGTAAAACAGTTGATAAGAAAAACAATAACTTTAATGTAATTGAATAGCTCATATCAATACAATGGCAGACACCTTCAGCTCTGTTAAGCTGCCCGTATGCCAGAAGAACATTTGTTTAATAGAACAAATGTTTTCAGAACATTTGCTTGATTTTTCTAATAGTTAATGGGCTTCTTGCCCAGTGGTGGTGGAAGATCTTGTGGCAGGGGTACCTGGATCACATATGTAGCTGAAATGTAGCAGAATAGAATTAAGCTGTTCTATTTTTTCCATCAACCCAAATGCTGAACAAAATAAATAGAACAGATTCTCCAACAACGCTTACAAGCATTAATGGATGAATCCCCCGCTGTTTCCTTTGTATTCTGACAGCGGCCACCGGCCATACACTGGTTCTATCCTACTACTAATAACCATATTGATCTAGAAGTTTGTAAACTTACTTATTGAAGAGGCCAATATAATGTACTTCCTCAATGCACTGACACAATCTTACTCAGCCCCGTGAATATGCACAACTCCTAGAGTCTGCCTTCTGAAATACAACCCGACATCTGAACAATGTAACATTGTCATTCCTTGCTGGAAGCAATGCATGATGGGATATGTAGTCTTGAGAAATCGAGATGGCGTTGCTTCAAGCAGTAGGGAAAGAGACGCAAAGCACACTGGGATCCAGGAAGTTGTAGAACGTGGTGGGCAGACAGAAGGCAGCACTTCTATTATTATACAGGATTTATATAGCGCCAACAGTTTGCATAGGGCTTTATAAAATGGAGGAAGACAGTACAGTTGCAATACAATTTCAATTCAGGAGGGTCCTGCTCATGAGAGTTTACAGACTAGTGGGATTTTCTTTATGAAAAACAACTCTAGTATATATTCCTATTACAATGCTGATGTTATAACAGGAAAGTGGGATGCTGTATGCTGGGACTTTACAACTCCTTTAACATTTCCATACTGTATCCAAAACTAAAAAAGGTTTGGCTAGACATACTCTACTGTATTTACATATAATGGGCCAGTGAAAGATACACGTTGTTTGTAAATGAGACTTCCGCTTCCTGAAACTTATCCTTCAGATGAAATTATTCATACCTTTGTGGCCATGATATAAAAATCAAGAAAACAGTAAAGGACATTCTTTTGTGAATCTATCATTTCACCCAGTTAAGGGAAGGCATCTTGCAAGCAGAAGCAATGTCAATAATAGTTTAAGCTTCTTAACATCTTCAGTTGGTCAGTCTGTTGGCTGTGTTATCCAATCAGATGACATGGAACACGCTAACCGGGGTTGTTGCTATTGTGCCTGAAACCCTGCAGGGTTACTGAAGGTTTCAAATGCTATCTCAGAAGTGGGGGTTAGAGTAAATACAGATTGAGAAGTCAGGCTAGGTCTTCAAACATGTTGACTTTAATTAGAGATAGTATCAATTCTCAGCCATTCAGAAAGACGGAATTACCAGACATTACACAAAATGTAAACGCGTGTCAAGACATAGTTTTCTTACCCAATGACCCTGCCAGTAGAGCCATTGATTTTCTACTTCCTGTAAGAGGGTCACAACACTCTTCCCTCTGAATTGTAAGTGCTCACAAGCAGGGCCCTCCTAACCCTCCTGTACTTAATTGTATTGTAACTGTACGCTCTTCCTTTATTTTGTAAAGCACTGAGCAAACAGACATTTCTAAAAAAAATAGCGCCCCTGGCATCCAGCTCAGCTAGTGGCAGCCAGTGACATCACTAGTTACCAACAGCCTGGTAGGACGCAGGACAGACAGGGCGTTCCATGTTTCTGAAAACTGGGCAGGGAGATATATAAGGGCCATACGCATCTCCTTGCCGGCTCTTAGCAACCTGGGATACTCTGGCCAGTATCCCATTCAGCTCCTGGCAACCAGTGACATCACTGGTTGCTAGGACCTGGGCGTGACGCCGGCCAAGGCGTCCCTGCTTGCTAAGAGCTGGTTAGTGAGATGTGCATGGGAGAGAGGTGGGGAGCCAAAAAAAAGTTAGCTGTCTCCTTGGGTTGGTGAACTTTCACTGGCCCATGAAGCTAGACAAACAAGCTAGCAAAAACACTGTCGGCTAGGTTTGGGGACTAAAACACCTACTAAAGTATGGGCAGCACAGTGGCTTAGCCATTCTATCTTGCAGCGTTGAGGGTTCCAAGTTTGAAGGACACTATCTGCTTGGAGTTTACATGTTCTCCCTGTGCTTGCGTGAGTTTCCTCCAACTCTCCAAAGATATGTGGCTAGGTGAATTGGATCCTGTCCAAATCAGCATATGTATGTATGTATGCATATGAGATGGAGACCTTAGATTGTAAACCCCTTAAGGGCAGGGACTGATGTGAATGAATAGTATGTAAAGTGCTGTGTAAATTGTTGGTGCTTTGTAAATACATGTATTAAATAATAATAGAATATTGTATTCTGGTAACTGTAATGATAGTATTCAGTGTATGCATTTCATTCCACAATATAATAATACAAAACACAGACATTTCCCAGCACACTTACCAGCTGGCCTGCAACAAAACAAATTGCCCATCTAACAGTATGCTTTAAAACCAGAGGTTTTAGATGCACAACTTTTTGCACGGATCCTTACCACAGATGCCTCTGCCACGCAATCAAAGGACTTTTCTAAAACTACCAAGTTGTCTACACCATTCTGATGTCCATTAGGCTAGTCTGGATCTAGCATTAGGCTTTCCAAGGTATTGAGAGTGACCTATTCCCTTCTCTGCATGGGGACAGCCATATTCTCTGCAAGCAATAATGGAGGGTTGCTTTTACCATTGACCTATGGTTACTCATAACTTAGGTAGATGTAAATAATTCCTATCTTCCATTCAGAATATTTGATTATATTTATATTCTTTGCTCATCTACTACAGCAAAAGGGATTTTCTGAATCTCATGTTTTTTTCTTTCATTTTGATGAATGATATTCATATGCTGATTACTTTTTGGTTTTCTCTAAGCACCACCATTTCACTTACAGAAACAGAAAATAATAGGAAGTTTCTACAAAGTGAAAATAATTGCCATCTTAGAGGTTAGTAACAGTAACAAATGTCACCACTGGAGGATTTTTCCTTACCTACTGCTCTAACTAAAACTCAAAATGTCTGTATTCCCCATCATTTGTCTTGGACATCACTGCATGGGCTCACTGTCTGTGAACACAGTTCACCGTGCCATCCAGAAAATGCAAGTTAAAGCTCTATCATGCAAAGACAAAGCCATATCTGAAGAACATTATCCAGAAACGCCTCAGTCTTTTCTGGACCGAAGCTCATTTAAAATGGTCTGTCACAAAGTGA